ACTTAAAGCTGTGTTAAAAGTAAGTTATGGTAAAGTACTTAAAGCTGTGTTAAAAGTAAGTTATGGTAAAGTACTTAAAGCTGTGTTACAAGTAAGTTATGGTAAAGTACTTACAGCTGTGTTACAAGTAAGTTATGGTAAAGTACTTACAGCTTTATTACAAGTAAGTTATGGTAAAGTACTTAAAGCTGTATTACAAGTAAGTTATGGTAAAGTACTTAAAGCTGTGTTACAAGTAAGTTATGGTAAAGTACTTAAAGCTGTGTTACAAGTAAGTTATGGTAAAGTACTTACAGCTGTGTTACAAGTAAGTTATGGTAAAGTACTTACAGCTGTGTTACAAGTGGGTTATTTTAAATAAAGCTGGCAGGACTGAAGTTTGGTTATGGTTTATTGTGACTTTGTGAGTTATAAGTAATTCAAGTAACTATAAAGGTGTTTAGAACCCAAGGAATAGAGGTTTAAGAAGAAAGGATATTTTGAATGAAGTATCAAGAGTAACCAGTATTGTACATAACATTTTATGGAATTGAATTGTTCAAAAAAAAATGTGTGAATTAAATTGAACAAAAATATTTTGTGCATGAGATTCTGTTAACAATATCAGTGTACTATTAACTCTCACATTTTCTGTTCCTGACAATATCATTTTGCTATGAATAACACATTTTCTGTTCCTGACATTATCAGTGTGCTACATCTCACACATTTTCTGTTCCTGACATTATCAGTGTGCTATAAATAACACATTTGCTGTTCCTGACATATCAGTGTACTACATCTCACACATTTTCTGTTCCTGACACTATCAGTGTGCTATAAATAACACATTTTCTGTTCCTGACATTATCAGTGTGCTATAAATAACATATTTTCTGTTCCTGTCATTATCAGAGCAAGTCCAGGAATACATTGATGCTGGAAAAGTAATTTTTTAAAAGATGTTCCTTTATGGACGTATTTTAATAATTAATTTTTTTAATGATGTAGTTCCTTTATGAACGTATTTTAATAATTAATTTTTTAAAAGATGTTCCTTTATGGATGTATTTTAATAATTAATTTTTTTTAAAGATGTAGTTCCTTTATGGACGTATTTTAATAATTAATTTTTTTAAAGATGTAGTTCCTTTATGGATGTATTTTAATAATTAATTTGTTTTTAAAGATGTAGTTCTTTTATGGACGTATTTTAATAATTAATTTTTTTAAAGATGTAGTTCCTTTATGGACGTATTTTAATAATTAATGTTTTTTAAAGATGTAGTTCCTTTATGGACGTATTTTAATAATTAATGTTTTTTAAAGATGTAGTTCCTTTATGGACGTATTTTAATAATTAATTTTTTTTAAAGATGTAGTTCCTTTATGGATGTATTTTAATAATTAATTTTTTTAAAGATGTAGTTCCTTTATGGACGTATTTTAATAATTAATTTTTTTAAAGTATGTAGTTCCTTTATGGATGTATTTTAATAATTAATTTGTTTTTAAAGATGTAGTTCCTTTATGGACGTATTTTAATAATTAACATGGAAAGAGAATATAATTCCAGATCACACGCCAGCAGTGGATGAGAGCAGACATGACAGCTTTGCTAGCACTGTGTGAAAAAGCTGAAAATGATATTCGATCATGTCTTTCTACTTTACAGGTCAGAATATAAATTACTTTCACCTTTTCATTGTTACTTTGACTGTTTGTTTTTTCAACAAGATTTTTAAGCTTAAAGTACAAAAGACTCATAAGGCCTTAGACGTCCTAGATACTGGCTTTTACTTAAGTAGTGAAAACTATTATACTCAGCCTGAAAAATAATACGTAATTTGATAAAAGCTTAACAGATATCTGTGGGACTAAGGGGACTTACATATCTTTTAGAGTTTTATTATTGGTGAGAAGAGTTTGGATGAAAAATGGGCACCTTTTTATTTGAAAATCTAAAATATACACACAAATAAATTGTTCTTATTTTTTCAAATGAAGTTTTGATAACAAAGTCTAATTTTTATAATGAACTTTTAATGATGCAGGAGACACTTTTTATTTTGTTGTTGCTTATTTGATCTCAATAGAATTGATGCTTTTTTAAATGGAGTATTAATTGTATTAATCCTGATTTAGCAAGATATAAAATAGAGGTGGGAAATTAATGGAATTTACTAATTGATTAATCTTTGGGCTTATTAATCAGTTACGTTCATGTAATCGATTATTCTCACATGAGACTAATCTTCCTATTTTAAGTTTATGAACTACCTTTGTTTTAATGTAAAAGACATTCAGGTACAACAATTTAGGCTTAAGTTACTTTTTTTTAACTCTAAACTGTTGTACATGAAAATGTAGTGTATTAGTAACACAGTAGAAAATGTCTTACAAGCTGGTTTTCTCCCTACAAATTTTCAAAAAGACAACTAAACCTAAGAGGTCTGGCATGGCCAGGTGGTTAGGGTACTTGACTCGCAGTGGGTGGTCATGACTAGCTGCCACCCCTCTTGTCTTACACTGCTAAATTAGGGATGGCTAGCACAGATAGCCCTCATATAGCTTTGTGCAAAATTCAAAACATACAAATTAAACCTAAGAAAAAAAATTTCTCTGTTAAAAATAATTCATACATAGCTAATACTAGTCAAGATAAATTATAGTGATAGATAATATTGTTGCGTCATCGAGATGACGTGACTATTCTCACGCCCTCTAGTTTCTAGAACTATCCCGTATCTTGGCGAATGCTCTAGTATTTACTAGATA